GTATTTAAGGTGTTCATAAAATTTTCAAGTCTCAAGTCATCTTACTATCCCAGTTGTAGGATTTATTAATTCAAAAGAAACACATATGAAATCCTTTTGCATCCAAATACCATTGTTTTTTAATTCAACACCAGGGTTTCTAACTAAATTATTACAGTCTATGTTTATTGGCTCTGACTTATAACAACCACCACTGGTTGTTATTATTTTTAACTGTATCTCATGGAGTCAACATTTCACTTACAAAGTATTATTTAAAAATTTTCCAATCTTCCAAATCCAAAAGATAGTACATTTTTCCTAACAGAACATCTGGGGGAAATATACTCAGAAATGGTACCATGTGAAATTAAAATTTGAAAATAATTAGGGTAGGCTAGATGATTTACTAGTGTATATAGAGAATACAGAAAAGCAGAGTTAAATATACAAATTTATTTTAAAATCTACAATGATTTATATTCTAACCTATGCCATTTATAGAATGCTAAGACAATGTCTGAAAATTAAGCATTATTTTGAGTTTCCCAGAGAATACCAATAACTGGTCTGAGTTTTCTCTAACTAAATTGACTGTTAAACCAATAGATTTTAACAAAGATTTGTTAAACACTACCTAATGAGACAAAAATAAAGTTATTTTCTATATTGGGAATTATGACATACTTTAAAAAGCAATACATTGGCTCAAAAACCATACAGACTTTCCATGAACTTTTGTAAAAAGTTATAATTTGATCAATAAAGATATTTAGAACATAGGATAAAAAAAAGGAAATTTAAAAATGTTCACCTTCAATTTATTTCATAGGTCACTGTTATACCACCTAATAAGATAATTAAAAACATGCAAGCAGCTGGTACTACAGCTAAACAGATTAATGTAATAGTCTGTAGTCATATATGCTGGCAAGGGGCTCGCCTCTTTGCAGAGAAGGTCAGCTGCCCTTGGGAAGGGGAGGGGGTGGTAGTGAGGGAATATTTCTGCTACCATGTGGCCTTGTGCTACAGGCACTTAAACAGCTATTGCAACCTGCTAATCAGCAAACTACTTTTTTTTTTCATACCCAGCAGGGGGTCTCTCAGTTTTAATGGTTATATGAGAAATATAGAAAGCTCATGTCATCTGACAGAAAACATTAAAATTGGTCTCCCTAAAAATTACAAGATACAATGCATAAACCAATAATATCTTCTCAATTCTTATTCACTTTCCATTTTATTAAGTCATCTGCAAGTTAGTTAGGATATATACAGTCAAATTTTAACAAAAACATCCAAAAAAGATCTAGCCTCTTATCCAGGCAGCACACAACAATGGTACTGGTGCCTTCGGAGTTAAGTGCAGCTGTACTCTATCTTGAATCAATGAAGCAAAAACCACAAATCCAAAGTAAAGCCTCCCAGCCTATGAAAAACAAATCAATGAACATTAGGCACACAAAGCTGTAGTTAAGCTCCATCAATTTTAAATTTCAAACTTTTTTTTTTCTCAAAATTCCAAAATCCATCTCTGAACTTATACTAATAGCAAAATATTTTCCTTTTATCTTTATTAGTGTATAATTTTGTTATACAAAGGCAATCTAAAACACTGTATGAGAGACTGAGAGTTTCAAGCCTCAGGTTAAGTCTGTCCTTAGCTTTCTGTCTAACAAACAAAAGTTATTTTCCTTTAAGACGTGTTTTTTAAAAATCTCCCTTTTGGCATCTCCATATTAGAGCACTATTAAAAAATTCTACATTACCAAAAAGATAACAATGGTGACAATAATGATGATGACATCGACTGAAAGATAAAACCTGCTATCAGCTATTCAGCATTTAACATGTGACATCAGTCCCATTATCCCATTAACTCCTCATAAATGTGTTATAGTGCCCCTATTTTAAAGATGAGGAAAGTGAGGCTAAAAGTTGACCAAAGACTCTAAAGTGTTTGGAGTCAGGATTTGAACTCACTGTGTTTAGGTATTATTAACAAACAAAAAGCCAAAACAGCCCTGGCCAGTGTGGCAGTTGGTTGAGCGTTGTTCCACGCACTGAGAGGTTGCCAGTTCAATTCCCAGTCTGGGCACAAGCCCAGGTTTTGGGCTCAATCTCCAGTAGGAGGCAGCAGATAGAGGCTTCTCACTAATTCATGTTTCTCTCTCTCTCTCCCTTCCCCTTCCTCTCTCTCGCTCTAAAATCAATAAAAACATATTTTTTTAAAAAAACATTAAAAACAACAACAATAAGAAAACAAAGACTATGCCCTCTTGAAACTGAAAATCTAGGACCACAATAATAGAAACAAATAATGAAAAATATAGATTTAGGTGACCAATTCAAAAGTTAATAAAACCTTGGCATATGCTATAACAGTGTACACCTGTTGGAGGGTTACGCGTACTAAGGCTACGAAGTTGACAATTTACATGAGGTAAGCATAAAAGAATAATAATAATGCCATGGCTTTGCATGTAGATTTCCCAAAGGCTTTATCTTACACATTTTATCTCAGTCTATAAAACACCTGTGAGCAGGAAGCATCCATTTTATAGATGACAAACTAAGGCTGATCATTATTCTGGACACAAGGACACAAAGCTTGAGTATGCTCACACCAGGCTGACAGCCGACCTGTCAAGCTGTGAGGAAGGCCAGGATTTCTGAGGCAGTTTAAATAATACAAAGGTAAAATTGTTAGGATGTTTGAGAATTGGAATATTCACATTTTCCCAATGACCTATTTCTAGTTAGTTTAAAAGAGCTATGATGGCAGGAGGAAAATCATCTTCATTTACAAAAGTAAATTTTACTGACAATTCTGTTGCCATTTTAGTGTGATTCTGCAACAATTCCTAGGTTTTATCAGTTAACCTTAATATGAAAATATACCCCAGAGCTGTGCTTCCATGAATTCTGCATTTAACCCAAGTGTCAAATTCACAAGTAAGCTCATTATATTGTAAGAGCTACTACCTACTGAGTAGAAAAATATTCATTTCACACCTTAAATACTATAATACTATTTAATAAAAGCACTGGCCTGCCAACTATTAAAAGCTTGTTTTTATACACTGTACCACCTGAGCTTTTTATCTTGCCTTTTTAATTACAACAATAAATTAATATCCTAACATTACAACACTGACAGGCATTGATTAAAAATATATTAGTTAACAACATTAGTATTTATTGTGCAAAGTTGCATTAGGAGTTCATTTTCAAAATACAATTATCATTCAATAAAACTAAGATCCTTTAATATTCAAACTATTCAAGAAGAAAGTAAATTACAAGATAATACTGTGCATTCACATTAACACATTTCTCTTAACTTTATATTATGTCCATTATTTACTATAATTAGCTAAACAATAAATGCAATTGTAAAATATAATTCACCAACAAAATTTATTATATACATATAGATTTTCCTTCCTTTGAAATACATCTTTATTTTTCTTTTGTCTTGGTTATTTTTTATTGTCTTTATATCTAATAATGATATTACCACCATAGATTTCACATGAATTATCATATCAACAGTCCTCAGTTACATGCGAATTCATGAATCTTTAACTATCTTTTATATTCACCTATTTGTTTGGAGTGATCAGCCACAATATGTTCAGATAGAGGATTCTACTTATTATTTAATATGTCAAATTCCAAGTTTATATTAAACTTCAGCACTAAAAGAAGGATTTGGAGAATTCCAACATTTATAAGGTAGGATGGGTACAGTGAAAATATAATAATGACAACACACGAGCTTTACTGCGGTGATAATACCTTCTAGAACACCATGGGAACATAAGCCTTTTGTAGTATCCATGACACTTGAACGATTGATTATTTATACAGACCCCAACTGGTATAAAATACAGATGTCAAGTGTTTCAATTACCAACTCATTTCTGGAATTCATAAACCAATTGTAAAAACTTTCACATTTACTACATTCTCACTAAGTGCTTCCTGTATACAAGACCATACTTAAGATGTTAAAAGCTTGCCTGGGATCTGAGGAAACAACACAGTTCTAATTAGGGATAAAGAGTATGTATTCAAATAAAAATATAAAGTTCTAAGCATAAATTCCATATTTATTATGTAAAAGAAGGAGTGACAGCTTAATATTCAAATGAGTTTCCACGTGTACAGTGGTGCTTGGGTATATTTTACAGTGTCATTACACAAGTATCAGAACTAATTAACCATAAGGACAGTGTACTCCAATTAAAGTATTTCTTCAACAATCTGCTTTGCTATCTATAATGCCAAAATGCACTATTATTGAATCTGTACTTTTTTCCCTAAAAGTAAACCTAGTTCTTATACCACGCTGGTTCAGTATATAATTTTCAAATATTACTGGAATACTTTACTCTTCTTTCTAGGTTTCTCTGTTAGGAGGGAACAAATTCCACAAACACTCAAGCAAATTCAAGTTAAAAGGAAAATATTAACAAAAGACTAGATAAGACACATGATTTTCTTAACTGGTAATTCCTTTTTAAAAATCACTAATTGAGACCATAACTGCCCTTTTTGCTGAAAAGCCAAACAGGACATTAACAAACAGTACTTAATGTAACCACGGACTACATTTTATACTCTTAGTTGCTCATAAACAGTACTCTCTGTTTTAGCAGAAAACTTAAACAAAAGAAAGCATTTAGTACTGTAAAAGATATGCTGAAAAAACAAAAACAAAAACAAAAATGGATTACAATGAAGCTTAACACTGCATGTGCATTCATTCCAATTACCTTAAGATACATTAACAACAGATACATGCAATAAGGCCATTTATTCAAGAATTGAGAATGTTGCATTTTTCCATACTCAATAAATCTGCAGAACAATCACATATCATAATACTCTTTATATTTGTCATATTTTTAAAGTACAGGTAGCAGTTCCTTACTACTCTAAGGTTAGAGTCCTGTAAGATTAGGTATTTTGTACATTATCTTATAATATTACATATCTATGTATTCATCACCTACCTATAGGAATTAAAAGTCCCATCAGAATCTAAAGTAGAACTTGTTCTTCTTCCATTTTTATTTGAGTCTCCTGGAAAAAAAATTTAAAAACACTGAAATAATGGAGATTATAAAACTGAATATTTCAGTTGAAAAGCTACTATGTGAGAGCTCTATGCAGTATGTTGGGTCAAAAGGCGTATATTCCCTTATCCCTCCCCCAAATGTCTTTTATAATCAGAGCCCATTAGGCAAAAAATTTATTTTCATGCTAAGATATAAACCAACACCACTGCTTCTAACTTTGATAGGAATTCTGCCAAAGTGATTGCTAACAGGAACAAATGAAGTATGGTAAGGACATTTTCTTATTATGAATCACAAGCAAGCCAATATTTATAAACCATTTAATCATACACTAATGTTTATAAACAAAGGGCAATTTTTGGTTAGTGACCAAGTCACCCTCCCTGATCACTGGTATAGTCAAAAGAGAGCAGGTAGAGAGCAGAACTGAAATGTTTTCCAGCCCCAAGTTCATCCTGTGTAAAAGTATGGTAGTAAGCACAGAAGTAAAACAGAGCAGAACTGGGAGGTGGCAAGCAATAATGAATGCATTCTAGTGGCCTTTATACATCTTAATATTCTTCCCAAAGCTTTAGGTTTTATCTGTGGGCAAAAGTTCAGCACTTTAAAAAGTTTAAAAAAATAACATCAAAAAGTATTTCTGCCTCATGTGGTAATATCAAACATTTAGGAAAAAATAATTTTTCACTCAAACTGGCATATCTATAAAATCAGATTTGGAAAAAATTCATACCGATCAGTTTAAAACTATGGAATAATAATAAATTTGCTAAAGGAGTTAAAAAATTGCTTACCAATGCCACAATATAAAATACATATTCTTACTGACAGAAATTTAATTTTAATAGTTTAAAATTAAAAATAAATACTGCAAAGTATAGTTTTTATGAAACCAAAGCATACTACTATAAAACATATTTAGTTTTAGAAACAAATTAAAAAGACTAGAATCTGATTACATTTCATACTCCTAATTCCTGTAATGTAACTTTCAAACATCAGGTTATACTCATTTTTATGATATTTAAAGCTTAATAATTTAATGATACATTCAATTTTAATTTATACTTTTAATCCACTTTGAACAACCTAAGGTGCCACTGGAGATCATCACAGTGGTCCTGGTTAAGTCAAATAGTAATTACAGAGCTTTCACTTTAAAGATTAGATTATTTTTAATTATTGAGTATAGTACTTAAGGTACCATACTTATATAATTATGCTACTCATTAAATGGTTATTGAAAGCTAAAATGTAATTTTAATGACAGCTACCTATTTTTCTTTGCACATTTTTCAGTTGACAGATTAGTCAAAAATGTTGCTTCTCTTCAAAATCTTTGTAGCTGCACCCAACTTTCAGGAGGACCAGACTAGACTGAGCCCACTTACTGAACTTTTAACTAATTTTTTTAAAATGTACTTTCAGTTTTCTTTGATTAAACAAAAATCCTAAAATGGATTATAGAACTTGAAAATGTTGACAATTATTATAGAGGAAAATAATCCAAAAAACAGTTAAATGTTTAAGATCAAACCTAGCTGGGTATACTTTGTTAATTCTTTGAAAACATGGGTACTGTAAGATTACTCACTCAACATACTTCATTTCCTTTAAAAAATTAATAGTATTACAATAAATAAATAAAAATTTAAGGAAAATTAGTCTCTGTTTTGCTAAATGAAAATTTCCTACAACACATGTTATTTAACAGCTTGCAGACATTTCCTGTGAAACACTCCATAATCAGAGTAGAATAAGTACAGCCTCTACTGAAAAACATGAGCCTTCTTTCACTTTAAAACTAAAGATTATGATTACTTAAATATATAAAATCTCACCAATGGAACGTTTCTTGCCTTCTGCTGATATTTACAGATCAAATATAAAATCCTTCCAATAATTAAGACTTTCGGGTTTTTAAAAAAACTAGGTTTTCTCATAATACATTACAAAAGTGTTCTTCATTTTATACCTCTTTTGAAATTAATATATCACATTAAATGTAACCTTCAAAGCATGGCAATAAGGGGAAAAGGCAGTTTTTCTCTCTCAAAAACACACCAAATAAGGAGTACAGTTGTTTCTCTAAACAATATTAGAAAAAAGATTTCAGAGTTTGCTATATGAGGAAAAGGCAATCAAGTTTTGAAGGGGGAAAAACTGCTTTGTTCTTTCAATCCTCTAGTTGAAATTAATTATAGCAAATGTTTATGAAAACATCTGTTCCTTACAGTTATAAATTCTTAATTTTAGTATGGACAATTCCAGACTCTTATTTTAGAAGGAAATTGACAATTGAAAGGTTTACCAAAAAACAGACAAATTGTAATTCTGGAAAACTGTATACAGAATGTGCTATATCCTGTAGAGATTTTCGTTTGTTTGAAATACTTGGAGGGGGTTAAAACTGGTAAGTAGGAAAAATCAAAGACAAATAGGAAGGTTCATGTTTCATTTTTAAGCTGATTTACAATAAAAAGTATCTGTAACACATGAAACAACAAATAAGAATTAAAAACAAATATTACTTTACTATCAACCTAATTTTGAGGTAAGTATAATAAACTATTAATTTTATCAGGGATTTTAATAAGCCTAACGCCAATAATCATGGAAAGGTATGTGTAGTGTTCCCTAAAAGTAACAATAGAGGGTGCAAGAGAGTTTCATATAATGTTTTTAGTTGTTCTTGATTCTAGAACAAAGTTATTACCAGATAACAGTAACAGTAAGTGTAACTGTAACAAGGATGCATAGGTTGTTTTCAGAACTAATACTCTCTTTCTCACACACACACACACACACACACACACACACTCACTCACTCACTCACTCACTCACTATTAAAGTAGTCTTATACAATGACCGTTAAATGATCAAACAAGAAATATTTAAATGTTTTAAGATAACAGACTTCCTTTCATTTTTTTAAAAAGTAACTTAACAATAAAGTAAATTTTTGGCCAGGCGTGGCTCAGCAGTTGAGCATCGAACTGGGATCCAGGAGATCGGGGTTCAATTCCCAGTCAGGGCATATGCCCGCGTTGCAGGCTCAATCAATGACTCTCTCATCATTGATGTTTCTATCTCTCTCTCCCTCCCTCTCCTTTCCTCTCTCTGAAACCAATAAAGATATATTAAAAAAAAACAAAAAACAATTGTGATTTTAAAGGTATTTCAATATTTAACATAAACAAATCAATAAAATAATCTGGATTTATTAACTGAATAAATTTTAAATAAATGCATAAACTATATAACATATATATTGTTACTGTATAAGTAATAAACATTGTTCAACATTATATATTTATAGGGATAGTTCATCACTTAGTTGGGACCATTACAGTTTGAAATTTATATAACACATTTATTTCTCATTAGTTGTTAAGTTTGTAAAATGAGTTCATGATATTCACAATTAAAATAAGGTGCCTGATTTGAAAAAATGCTTGTAGTTATATTGTTTCATATGAAGATACAAAGAGCATAGTATTTTCCACTGGCAATTTATAATATACATGTATCTAACTTATTAAGCCAATAATACCTATAATGGTGACTTATATTTCAAAACATGAAAATCGAATTCCAGACTCCTTTTTAGCACTTACTGCAGTCATATTTAGTGAAGGGCATTTATAGTATCTATCTGTGCACTGCTGAGATCACACTAAACGAAAGTTTACAATAGGTTCTATGGTGCTTTTTATGCACAAATATCTGCTTTATGAAGGGAGAACCAGAGATTTTAAGCTTGGTTAGGTTAAAAAGAACCAGAATAATGTTGTGAATAAGCCCATGTACTCAATCCTGTCTTCAGTGTACATCTAAAAAGCATCAAGTTTTAAAGTATCACATCACACTAGGTATGAATTCTGATAACTATTACAGAATAAGAAAGGGTTTATCTCTGAATTGTAAGAGAACTGTCACCGTGTATGTGCAATAAACATTTAATGGTAAGAGGAGAAAAAATGATCTGCTTCACACTTACTGAGAAGAAAGCTATGGATAGCCACATTTTAGTTGTGATAGGATAAGATGGTATAAATATTAGTGTAAGGACCAATGAAACCTTTTATGTCTTTTAAATGAATTAACATTACTACTGAAATGTTTTACTTACATTTACAATCCCATCTTAAGTAATCACATGGTGAAGGCAAAGCATAAGACTTGGCATCATTTATGAAGACAGCTGCCATACTAAAGGTATCCCCTCATTTCAGGAATCGGGTAAACAACAGTCTCTCTAGGCTAATTATTTATGCTAAAATCCAGTACCACTCAGTAGGTCTAAGAGCCAGTGCTCAAGTAAATACAGAAAATTTGTGTATTTAGTAATTTTCCATTTTCTCTGTTACTGTCAATTTATCTACATTCTAATGATTTAATGGTTTTATTTAGTTCTCTATGTAATATTTTCAAATTATTTTTTAGATAATGAAAACTCAGAGGTAAAACAGAAATGCACAGAAACTATTTTAAATAATTTCCAAGTGGACAATTTTAATTTAATAAGATAAAATTTTTGTTATTCCTATTAAAACATTAATAGAACTATTTTAAAAAGAAAGCAGTTACATCAACAGAATGGTGGAATATACAACTTCAAATCATCCTCCCTTGGAAACACTGAAAGCAAGCATTGAAAACAACTTTGAAACAACTCTGGAAAATAGTCAAAGATTTGCAAAAACACAAATGAGCAATGAATCAAGAAAGGCAGCTTGAACGCTTTGTGGCATTTCTACTTGTCCTTGCTGTATCCCCTCCCCGGAGCAGCAGCAGTTTTGAAAAGGAAACCAGTTCCCAGCATGGAAACCTAGTACCTGGAGGTCCCAGAGGCAGCAGAACAGATCATACTTCTAAATAACTATGCAAATCTGTTCTAACTTGAAGGACTGAAACAAGATACTCATCTCTTTTCAGCGATCTCAAAAAGAGAAGTGGTGGGCAGCGCTTGCCAACACACTGTAAGCCAAACAAACTAAAACC